ACCCTAAACCCTAAACCGTGTCATGGTGTCGATGGTCATAGCTGCAGTTGTCGTCGTATTGATTTCAGTAGCAGCTGCTTAACCCCAAGCCCTAAACCCTTATAAGCTCTTAACCCCGGGGCCATAATAATAGGGTTTAGGGTTTCATATTCCTTGGTGGAAGACATGTTTTGTCGGCGCAGGCCATCAAGCAGAACCCAAACCTCAGAAGCATCAGCAGCGCGGCTCCTTGGCGAAATGTTGACGACCCTGGGAATTCGTGTCTGTTGTACTCCAGAATCATAGGCCTTGTCCGATCCGAATACTCGGGATTCTCCAGTGCATTCTTTGGAGTTGTAGTTGTGGTTGTACGCCTACTTATTATTACCTGTGTCCCCAAACCCTACGAAATAGTAGATTATGACCCCTTAGTTATACGGTCTAACCCATAAAACGGTAGGTTTTTGGATACCCAGGTATAGCCTACTTACTAGGTCCTCTGAGGCGTTGGTGTCAAGGGTGTGGTTTCGGCTACAAACCCTAAACCCCTAAACCCTAAACCCAAGACCCTAGACCCTAAACCCTAAACCCCTAAACCCTAAACCCAAGACCCTAGACCCTAAACCTGTTGAGTGCACTTGGACCGTTTGCATGTCAGCCCTTTGCTCAGTGAGGCTCTGACCTGCGCGGTTTAGGGTTTACGGTTTGGGGTTTGGGTTGAGGGTTTAGGGTTTATTCAGTCCTTAGCACAAGGTTTGAACTTTTGTGGGCCCTGGTGATTGAAGATCGGTTCTATGAGGAGTAGGTTAGGGAGTTGGGGTAGTATTGCGGTTCAATTTCAGGGTCTTGGGATTTAGGATTCACGGTTTAGGGGTGAGGGTTTTGGGGTCTTCTCATCCCCGGAAATCCTAAGCCCCAAATGCCCAAACCCTAAATCCTAAACCTAAACCCTAGACCCCAAACCCTGAACCCTAGACTAAACTCTACTAAACCCCAAAACCCCATTATCCTTCGGATCCTACATCGAACCCCGACCCAGCAGCCCTTAGCCAACGACACCTCAAGAATCGTTACAGAACCTATATTAACTATATGGGCTTAAATAATTACCGATACTATTTTGGGGTTCCTTACCCTAAACCCTAAACCCTATAGTATAATAGGACCCAACTACCTCGATTCTAGTTATGCAGGCCCCTAGAGTAGGCTCGTTTTTCGTGAAGCCTCAAGGAAACCCGTAGTAGCAACAATCCAAGAAACTCCGAGAGCAAAGTTCTCAGCAACAAAACCCTAAACCCTAAACCCTAAACCCCTAAACCCTAAACCCTAAACCCTAAACCCCTCAACCATCTAAGGCTGACGAGGCGACGCGGAAGATGGCCCAGGGCTTGGTCGTCGGAGTTCGGGTTTGGCTGTCACAGTCTAGGAGCGCTCAGGGTTAAGAGCCTTGGGATTAGGGGTTTAGGGTTTCAGGGCAGCAGGCACGAGACGGTTTAGGGCTTAAAATGTAGGGCTAGGACATTTTCAGGTGGGTAGTCACCGTTAGAGGAGCCTTATAGAAGGTCTATATACCTTCTGGAAGCCTTATAGAAGCCCTATATACCCTAAACTCCCCACTTGTAGATTCCTTTAAACTGTCTGGAGGTCGGTCAGACATTCGTCGGTTTAAGGTTTTAGGTCTACCTTAAGAGCCCAAAACCTACTTTTTTCTAGGGTCCCTATAAATCCCATATTAGGGTTTATAATAAGAACCTACAAAAAAAAGTGGGTTTAGGGTTTTAGGTCTAGGGTCCAGGGTCAAAGGGATTAGGGTTTGGGGTTCAGGGATTAGGGGTTAGGGTTTAGGCTTTAGGGTTTAGGGTTTTTTCGTCTAGGGTCCAGGGTCAAAGGGATTAGGGTTTTGGGTTCAGGGATTAGGGTTTAGGGTTTAGGCTTTAGGGTTTAGGGTTTTTTCGTCTAGGGTCCAGGGTCAAAGGGATTAGGGTTTTGGGTTCAGGGATTAGGGGTTAGGGTTTAGGGATTAGGGTTTAGGGTTTAGGGTTGAGGGTTTAAGGTTTAGGGTCCAGGGTCAAAGGGTTTAGGGTTACATGGGGGGGTACCTTCCTACATCATAATGGTAATTCCGATTAGAGATTTGGTGTGTGTGTGTGTCTGTGTCTGCGCATGTATAGAAATACGTTTAGAATCAGAATCATGTGCACGCTCGCAGCCAGACAACCTCTTGGCTTCCTACAGCTTAAACCATAGGTCCTGAACCCCTTAACACCCGTCATAAAGTCCTTGAGTCAGATGTGATTGACTCAATTTTCTGTAATATAGAAGCCTAAATAATTACCAATATTTTTCCTTATGGTTCCTTATTTATACTTAAAGGGGCCCAAAACCCTATTCTAATGATTAAGGCCCCTACATTAGCGGTTGGGTCAACTCTCGTGTAGCACAGATTCAACCCTACCCTACACCCCTGAACCCTAGAGCCTTAAAGCCCCAAGACCCTAAACCCTAAAGCCCCTCTCCTCCCCGGCCTCTTCGGTTTGGACCGGGCCGGAAAAGTTTAACTTGAAACCGGGAAAGGTCTAGAGTTCGTTCAGGGTTTAGGGTTTAGGGCTCTAGGGTTTGAGGGGTTTAGGGGTTTAAGGCTTCAGGGTTTAGGGCTTTAGGGTTTGGGTCCCTAAACCCTAAACCCTAAACCCTAAACCCTAAACCCTCAACCGTGGTTCTAGCAAGGGCTTCAGGGCTTTAGGATTTTCGGGCCTAAGGGTTTGGAAGCGACCGAGGGCTCGGAAGAGCTAGTGAGAGTACTCCCCTGATACCTCCCCTATAACTTATAACTAGGCCAAAATGTATGAACAAATACAACAATGTACATACATATAACATAATGTAACATAATGTAACCTAATATATATATATATACACACACGTGTATATATGGATGTATATACCTTCCAAGCCCTAGTCGATGGTTTTGATCGCCCCTTTGTGCTGGACATGGTAATTCCGCAAGTCCTGGTTCCGATGCGGCAGAGAAGGCTCGTGATACCCTAAACCCTAAACCTTAAAGCCCTAAACCGTAAAACCCTAAAACCCTAAAACCCTAAAACCTAAAACCTAAACCCTAAACCTAAACCCAAAGTCATTTTGTTAGAGAAGGCTTTCGAGGTTTCAGGCGTTTGAGCCCGAAAACCCTGAACTACCCAATGTTATTCCTTACAGTACAGTAGGGTTCTGAATATAGCTGCAGTATAAGATACTGCAAAGCCTTGTGTCTCACTTTTATGGCGCTAACTTTTGTATAACAGCTTCTTTGCTAAGGGTGCCGTAGCCTGGTTTGAGGGCGTAGGGTGTCAGCCCCAGGCGACCATGTCCCGTGTGACACTCAGACGGCATGTGGCACGTGACTGGAGTCAGTTTAGCTTCAGGTTTAGAGTTCCCTAAGCCCTAAACCCTAAACCCTGGTTTAGAGTTAAAAAAGGATCAGGGATGCTTACGGAGTCAGATGTCATTGTCGACAAACCTCCTGTTGGGCGTTTTAGCTTAAGACTTCCTTGTGCAGTATATCACAGTGTGTTTTTGTCTCGCCAGCATTGGCGTTTGCAAGATGTGATGAACAATCCCTAAACCCTACATCGGTGAGCAAATGCCTTGTTATGTCAAGCAGACAAACAGTGCTATGTCTTCGACAACTCTCACTCTGGGAGCTCAACTATATTCAACAAGGAGGTACTTCAGTTTAGGGTAGCAGTTTGTGTAGGTTACGGTTTCAGTACATAAATTGAGCGGTGCGTCAACACTTGCAATAGAGGTCTGAATGATTACCGCTTGTGGTCCCTATTCGCATACCCCAACCCCCTGAAAAACGCTGGAGCCAACATCTCTGAACCATGAACCCCTGCCTTAGGGTAAACCCTAAACCCTAA